AATGAACTTTAGCTTGGGATACTTCATTTGACTCGATTTCAATATGATCAAAATTAGTACTATCGAAAGAACATTATTACCTATATAAATACAACACGTTTATGCTTTAAATATGTGACGTAACAACCAATAGTATCGCCTTCTATTATAAATATGCGGTTTAAATGTTAAAATGTTTACTAACGAAAGAATGAAAATGAAACTATTTAGAGTGATTATTGGTATGGCAATCGCAGAAACGCTGTTTAAAAGTTAAAGACCTTAAATAATTAGGTCGTATTATTCCAAACACCCATAATTCAAATTTTATGGGACCAAAGGCGGCTCACATCAGATCAGAATTTAATTTAGGTCATAATATTTACCATATACCTATACATACAATTTTAAGAGTGGGTGAATGATTTATGGTTACCAATACGTGCCGATACCCAATGATGTTAATTGTTATGGTTTAGGGATCAAATTACAATTACGAATTTCGGGATTTCTCATTTTTTGTATTTAATTTTTAAACAATACAGGGAAGTATAAAATAAATTTTAATACAAACGTATTGAAAATAATATCAAATTTTTTGTGATGATAACAAATTTAAACAGTAGATTTCCGAATCGAAACAAACCTAATAACCTAATAACCGGTTTTTACTTTAAAATAAAAAACCGGTTATAACCGGACAAAAAAACAACCGATTAAACCGGTTATTGCGAAGTAAAAAAACCGGTTTTCGGTTAAAACCGGTAGGTTTTTCCCATCCCTAATGCTTAACAAATCATTTTTCACTGCCAATGTGAGAAATTATTAATCTACTGTCTTTACCCGAAGGTGGGGAAATACCAGTAGACCAACCTTCCATTAAGGCTTGCCTGGAGCTTAATATATTTTTATCTGAACAATTTTTTTTTAGAGTATGCCCGTAATTTTCGTATGGATCTTAGATAGTTTCTTTTCCAACATATTATCTCCTCCCGGTCAATCAAAAGTGATTGTCGGTCTGATTTCTCCCACCGGAAATTTAATTCTTTTAAACCTTGCCACAATTTAGTTCGTCCGATATAAGGCAAATCCGGGTCGACTCTAACTACTTGTAAAATTTTGTTTAGTTTTGGTATTTCTTTTTTGAAAAAAAATTTATGAATTTTTCTTCGAATACCATGTTTGGCAAATTCATCAATTTCAATAGGCTTTTTCCCTCTCTTTAAGTGTCCGTTTGTATTTGGGTTAGCTATACCGTGTTTTTTTCTTTCTGATACGAACCTATATATAGTTGACTATCCTACGCCAGTCATGTTGGCACAACTTTCGACTATGTTGCGAACAGTGTTTGTGAGATTCTGAGAAACCAGAGCATCGTGAACATTCAGGACAATAGTCTTCTCTCTCAAACAGTACCGGTGTAAAACTTGATGATGTTGATGATGAAGCCATCACAAACAATCCACCAAAACAAGCACAAGCGAAAGGTACGTATATGTTCGTAGGTATATGGAATAAAAAATCAAGGTTCAAATCAAGTTTAAATCAAAGTTCGTAGGTATCAAAATGAATATTCGAGACGCTAATTACTGCTGTAGACGCGGAAACACCGATGTGCCGTAAATTACATGCGATCAAATACGTACTAAACAAAAAAATTGTTTTCGTTCGTAATAACTTCACACTTTCAAGTTAAGTTTCGAATATAAACTAAACAGACGAGGCACGTGGTCAAAGCATCTTTATACCCATTATATTATTAAAAATATGGAGAATTCCATCCTAATTATCTTGCAATAAATAGTACCTTCGGATATGAATTCCAGGTTTTCTAGTAAAGTGATTAAACGCGAAGATTAGCATTCAAATGTCCAAAGAGATAAGGTATTCTTATTTACAAAATTGTTAATTGTTAAATTCTTATTTTTATTAATATAATATAATAACCAAGATTAGCCGTGAAAGTTTTAATTGTTTTTTGCTAAATACATTAGTATTAAAACATTATTAATATTGATAAACATTTTGGAATGGAAAATAAATGTAAAACGCATTATTTTAATGAATAAACACCTCAGGAACGCCTATGATGATACAAATTTTAAGACCGTTTTATGACTTTAAGCTACATTTCGTGCTCTCAACAATTTCTGAACGGATTATAGTTGTAAAGAAGTAAAGTAAAGAAGTTGTAAAGTATAAAATTTTGTTAGGATCAGTAGGCCAATATGAAGGTTTACCTATAGAAAGTGTTTTGCATTTTAGTTGCCTAATTACCTACAGTGTGCTTGGCATTACAATCACCACCAATTATAAATCTTTTGCCATGCCTCGTCAAAAATTCCATATAGTGATCGTTTTTGAGTATTTTTTTTGTGGTGGAGATTACACGTCAGGAACGATAAGCTTAAAAGATTTTGTTTTAAAACTGAAGTAGCTCAAAACGTTTCTGTTTTGTAGCTTATTTCTTAATGATGTCTAATAGTTTCTTTTATTACGATAGCAGTACCATCTCTGGTTTACTTTGCGACTGTATGTGAATTTCATCTTTGAGAAAAGGCATCTAAAAAACATCATATGGATGTTACGACGAATCAGCCTTCGACTAATATTTTTAATCCATTGTGATCATCATCAGTTGTTTGAGTCCACTGCTGGACATAGGCCTCCCGTAAATAATTCCAATGCATTATATCTTGAGCACCCTGAATCCAGTTGTGCTGAATGCGCTTGATGTCATCTGACCACCTTGTTGGAGGACGTCCTCGATTACGATAAGCATCGTGTCTAGGTCTCCATTCCAGAATTTTCTTCGTCAACCTTCCATCTTTTAATCCTGCAACATGCCCCGCCCAGTTCCATTTCAATGTTATAATCTTTTGAACTGCGTCAGTAACACCAGTTTTTCTCCTAGTTTCTGTCTCTGAGGGATATATTAAGAATTAACCTTTCCATCGCTCTCCGTGCCACTTGTATTTTATTGATTACTTTTCTGGTAAGGGTCAATGTTTCTGCTCCATACGTTAGAACGGAGTACACATTGATCAAAGACCTTCCTTTTAAAGCACATGGGAATATCTGATCTAAAGACTTCTCTCAGTTTTCCGTAAGCCCCCCATGCCAGTCCTATTCTCCTGTTTAGCTCCGTTGTTTGATTCATCATCATTCAGCCCATACTCGTCCACTGCTGAACATAGGCCTCCCGTAGTTCACCCCACAAATTTCTGTCCTGAGCCGCCTGCATCCAATTTTGATGTGTCCGTTTCAGGTCATCCGTCCATCTTGTTGGTGGTCGTCCTCTATTTCTAAAGGCATCTTGTCTGGGTCTCCACTCAAGAATGCGTTTTGTCCATCTCCCGTCCCTCGTTCTCGCGACGTGCCCTGCCCAGTTCCATTTTAAGGTTGATATTCTTTTGATTGCGTCGGTTACTCCCGATCTACGGCGCAATTCTGTGTTGGGTATTCGGTCTCTCAGGGTTAATCCCAACATGGACCGTTCCATTGCCCTCTGTGTTGTTCGAATTTTGTTTGCGGACGTCTTAGTAAGTGTTAGCGTCTCCGCACCATAGGTTAGAACCGGCAGCACACATTGATCGAAGACTTTTCTCTTCAAGCAGATGGGAAGGGCTGATTGGAAAACATCTCTTAGCTTTCCATAAGCTGCCCATGTCAACCCTATTCTACGTATTAGTTCATTGGTCTGGTTATCTCTACTTAAGCGAATTTCGTGTCCCAGATATTTGTATGCTGATGTTTGTTCTATACTTGTTCCAGCTATGTTGATGTTCTCACTCAGAACAAGGTTTGTCATCACTTGTGTTTTTGAGTTATTGATCTTTAAACCCACTTGTGTAGAGGCATGGTAGAGTCTTTCGCACATTTCGATGGCATGATCTATGCGGTCTGTTATCAGGACTATATCGTCCGCGAACCTGAGGTGACTAAGCTGCTCTCCATTTATGTTTATGCCCTTTTCGTCTAGGTTTGCACGCTTACACATGTATTCCAATAATGTTGTAAACAGTTTTGGTGAAATGGTGTCGCCCTGGCGAACTCCACGATGAATGTTGAACTTGTGTGTATCTTCATGGAGTCTGACGCATGCCGTGGCATTATCATAGATATTTTTGATGACAGTGGTATAGCGGTGATCTATTCGGCACTCTTTTAAAGCTTCTAGCATTTTCTGGTGGTTTACTGTGTCGAATGCTTTCTCAATCTCGTGGCCCAGATATTTATAGCTATACACCTGTTCAATTTGCGTGCCGTTAGTTAAAATGTTTTTCGCCAGTACAAGGTTGGTCATATATTGTGTTTTGGAGAAATTAATTTTAAGTCCAACTCATGTACACGAGCTCTGAAGGTCTTGAAGAAGCTGTCAGGCATGATCTACATGGTCTGCAATAAGGACTATGTCGTCTGCAAATCTCAAGTTGTTTAGAAATTCTCCATTTATCATGACTCCAATATTCTTAAAATTATTGTTTCTCATAGCACTCTGCAACAAAGCGGTGAATAGATTAGGTGAGATGATATCTCCTTGCCTAACACCCCTCTCGAAGGGAAATGTATTTGTGTTGTCATATTACATTCTAACTGCAGCTGTTGCGCTCTTATATATATTCTGAAGAGGGGTGGTGTACCTATAATCAATACTACACTCTTTAAGAGCTTTTAACATGGAGCTATGCTGGACTGAGTCAAACGCTTTCTTAAAGTCTACAAATAATAATATTAATGGCTTGTTGTATTCTGTAACTTTCTCTATTAAGGATTTTATTACTTGTAGGTGGTCATTCGTTCCAAAACCACTTCTAAATCCGGCCTGCTCTAATGGTTGGTGAAAATCCAGCTTAGATTCCAGTCTGTTAGTAATTATTCTTATAAAGAGCTTATATAAATGAGATAACAAGCTGATAGGTCTGTAGTTTCCAATTTCCGTTACATCTCCTTTTTTGTGGAATATTATCATAATGGCACTATTCCATTTTACAACTACCGAAAAAAAAAAAAACTAAAACTGACACCTTAGGCTCTTTTACTTTTTCAGTCAGCCAGTTATCACAATGAATAAAAAATATTAACAATATTTATACACATAGTATATTAGTTTTTTGGTGAGTTTATTATGCAGTACACATATTATTTCCTTCTCGAGACAACATGTTCCTAGATCCAACCCTGTTTGCACATTCATTGAATCTGTTAGCAAAAACATCACCAAAGTAAGGATTTGCGCAGCTAGCCCCCATGAGATGAATGGCGGCTCTGTCTTTACAGTCGAAAACTCCGTCGCAATTGCAATCCTACAAAAAAAATATATTGAATTATTTATAGTTTAACAAATAATAACAAATATAAAAAATTCATCTGTTTGTGTACACATTAACATAATATGCTGGGTGTGTTTAAAAATATAGGAAATATTTTTAAAATATAATAATTTTTAATGGGTGTTCCCTAAGACAGCCATGGAATTAATATTAGCTGCTAGAAACGAATTAGAAAGTCTGGTATGAGAATGGGAGAAGTTAATCCAGAAGATCTTCTTCTTAGGATGCCTGTCCGTTCCGAACGTTGGCGATTCGTTCAAAGATATGACTCCCAAATGCTGTTTCTCGTTCCTCATTTGCTATAGGATCCTTAATAACCAACATGTAAATGATTTTATCTTCGTTAATGGCTATACCGACATAGTATTGCCGTCTCTAATGTGTGTATCTCGGACAACCTTTTCGAAGGCAATCTTAAGTAGCAGGCAAGTAGAAGCATCTCCTTGTCTGAGTCATTGTCATTCTCGTTATTAGGATAAGTTTTCTGGTATACCAAACTCACGCATTGATTGGTATAGTACTGTTCTCTTGACACTGTCTTATGCGGTCTTAAAATTGACGAATAATTAATATAAACAAATATTCATTTTATAAACTTGGATTTATCCGATATTTACCGGATTGTTTGTTACCACTTTATCAGTATGACTTTTCGAAGGTCATTCAGATTATCACGGTTTGTTTGGTATATAATACGCTGGGATTTTACCACAATTTATAAACATTGTAATATTTCCGGGAATATCTTAATAACTGAATTCAACAATCTTAAATGACTTCCTTTAAATATGACTAATATACTAAGTGGCATAAAAATCCGAACACCCATTCTAAATTATTATCTTTTCGATATGAAACGGATGAACAGCAGGAAAGCTGTAGGGCCTGATAATATCGAAGCTGAATTTTTAGAACTCTTGGAGGAAGAAGGAATAATTTGGATCACGGCTGTCTTCAATAAAATATACAATACAGGAATCATCCCTGATATATGGCTAGAATCAGAATTCATAGCGATATTTAAAAAACAGGGGCTAAAAAGTGCGAAGAATATCGAACAATCAGCCTAATGAGCCACATGTTGAAACTGTTTCTTAGAGTTATCTATGGAAGAATTTATAAGAAGTGCGAGGAACAAATATCGGACAGACAGTTCGGCTTCATTAACGCAGAGGTACCAGAGAGGCACTTTTCGGAGTACAGGTACTGATTCAAAGATGCAGGGACGTTAACTGCGACGTATACGCGTGCTTGATCGACTATGAAAAGGCATTTGACAGAGTTCAACATCAAAAGATGATAAACATTTTAAAAGAGGCAGACCTGGATGACAAAGACCTCAGAATAATTTCAGAACTCTACTGGAATCAGACCGCATACATGAAAATTAACGGAGAAGAAACAGATCACATAAAAATACTACGTAGAGTTAGACAGGGATGTATCCTATCGCCGTTGATATTTAATATGTACTCAGAGAAAATTTTCAACGAGGCTCTTTACGGAATAGACGAAGGCATCCTTCTAAATGGCGAAAGAGTAAACAATGTTAGATATGCCGACGACACCATGGTGATAACAGATAGTTTAGAGGGACTTCAGAAGCTAATGGACAGAATAAACGAGTACAGTCAACAGTACGGACTAAACATTAATACCCACAAAACGGAAGAAATGATTATCAGCAAGGAGAATATAAATGGGGCTCATCTAAACATTAATGGGACGCAGATAGAGCGAGTAAAACAGTATTGTTACCTGGGAACTATTATTAACGAATAGTGGAGCAATTTACAGGAAATAAAGTGCCGCATAGGAAAGGCAAGAATGGTCTTGAACAAAATGAGCGCCATCTTCAAAGGTCACAACATATCCCTTGATACAAAAATGAGACATTTGAGATGCTATGTTTTCTCTGTGTTGTTGTACGGGGCGGAGGCATGGACGCTTACAGACACCACTATTAAAAAACTTGAAGCATTTGAGATGTGGCTTTATAGAAGAATGCTGAGAATATCGACAGCAAGGATCACGAACAAGGAAGTTCTAGGAAAAATAAAGAAGGAACCAGAGATTGTGTTTACGATCAAACTCATAAAATTGCAATATCTGGGACACGTTATGAGAAATCAGTACCGTTACTCCCTGCTACAGTCTATATTGCAAGGTAAAGTCAAAGGTAAGCGAGGACCCGGTAGAAGGAGAATATCATGGCTGCGGAATTTAAGAAAACCTCAAAGGAACTGTTTCGAGCCGCAGCGAGCAAGGTTATGATTCCCAATATGATTTCCAACATCCGAAACGGATAGGAACCAGAAGAAGAAAAAGAAGATATTTTCGATTGACAAAATTGCGTAACAAATGATTTTTGCAATCTTTTTTTTTCAATAAAAAAGTTATTTTGCTCTATGGCTTGGCTTCACTTATTTTTCTGTACGTGTAGATTAGCAATAAAATATTTTAAGTTGTGCATTTGTGTGCTCTGTTTAAAGCCTTCCACAACAGTTGCATTTTCCATCGCAGGCGAAGTACCGTTATAATTTTTGTAACATATTTTATACCATATAGCATAAGCATGTTTTGACGCAATAGCACAATAATACCTGTTTCTTAGACCTCAGTACAATAGCTTATTGTCCTGTTTCCGATAATACAAGCCACATCCGAATTAGCTAAAACTAGAGACTTATTTGGTCTTCGTGCCCACGTACCATCAGCTATTACAGTAATAACAACTTTGTTATCTTGGGACAGTACCCAAGAGATCAAATGTCGCATCGGAAAGGCAAAAAGTGCATTCTTGACTATAAGTTCTGTTTTCAAGAGACATGATCTCATCCTAGAAACCAAAAAAAAGGCTCCTTTACTGCTATGTGTACTCAGTGCCTCTGTACGGAGTAAAAACGTGGACATTGAAGGCCGAAACTGTATCAAAACTTCAGGCTTTTGAGCAATGGTCATACAGAAGGATCCTGAAAATCATCATCATCAATCAGCCAATCGCGTCCACTGCTGGACATAGGCCTCCCTCAGTTCTTTCCAGTGTTCTCTACACTAGGCCGCTTGTAGCCAGTTTCCCGCTACACGTTTAATGTCATCGGTCCATCTAGTCGGTGGGCGTCCTCGGCTTCTTTTATAATTTCTGGGCCTCCATTCCATAATACGTCTTGTCCACCGTCCATCTTGTGTTCTGGCTAAGTGCCCTGCCCAGTTCCACTTAAGCGTCGTGGTTCTTTCGATGACGTCTTGAACTCCTGATCTTCGCCTGATTTGTTGGTTTGTTATGTGGTCTCGAAGGCTCACGTTCAGCATTGCACGTTCCATGGCTCGTTGTGTAACTCTAAGTTTATTCGCAGATTTTTGCGTGAGTGTTAAAGTCTCTGCTCCATAAATTTGTACAGGTAAAACACATTGGTTATAAACCTTTCGCTTGAGACACATGGGAATTGAACTTTTTAGAATATGGCTTAATTTGCCAAATGCTGCCCATGTTAGACCTATTCGCCTCTGTATTTCATGTGTTTGATTGTCTCTGCTTATTTTGATTTCGTGTCCCAGATATTTGTAAGTGTCTGTTTGTTGTATGGTATTATTGTCAATAGTTATATTTCCACTCATTACGAGATTTGTTGTAATTTTAGTTTTCTCAAAGTTTATCTTTAATCCTGCTCTTTCAGACAGACTTTTAAGCGAATGCATCATAGAAACTGTATCTTGTAAGTTATCTGCGATTAATACAACATCATCTGCAAACCTTAGGTGATTTAATCTTTCTCCATCTATATTGATGCCCATATCTTGCCATTGAGTACCCTTAAATATTGACTCTAGAGCTGCCGTGAACAATTTTGGTGAAATATTGTCTCCTTGTCTAACTCCTCGACCTAAGCTGAATTTTTTTGTGTCTTCGTGCAGTCGTATACTTGATGTAGCGTTCTGATAGATGTTTTTGATTAGTGAAATACAGATTCCTGAAAATACCTTGGACATAAACAGGCAAAATCACCAATGAAGAAGTTCTGCGGAGGATAAACACAACTGCGGATTTGATCAACATCGTAAAGGGCCGTAAGTTGCTGTATTTGGGACATATAATGAGAAATCAAGGCAGATACGAGCTACTTCAATGCATTTTGCAAGGTAAAATTAAAGAAAAAACGAATATCCTGGCTTGCTAACCTGAGAGCATAGTATAGGAAGACCTCAACAAAGCTATTTCGTATAGCAACCAACAAAATTATCATAGCCAGAATAATCACCAACGTTCGGAACAGACAGGCACCTTACGAAGAAGAAGAAGAAGAGATTAAAGAAAAGTAGCTAATGGTAGAAGAAAATAGAATGCAAGTGTTGAAAAGACTAACAATCACAGATTGATCTAGAGTTAAAAGAAAAACAAATCCTTCATAGTTAGAAACTTATGAAGAAATATAATAAAATAAGCCTACCCTACTTAGTGATAAAAGAAAAGTAAACTTTATAATCAAATACTCACCATATCTCCGAGACGCCCGGTATAATTAATGATAGTACCGACAATACAGTTTTCGTCTTTCATACAATTTGAATATGCTGTTGGACTTGTTGAACTTTCATATGGTGAAACAGTAAGAGAACCTGCTTTTGTCCAGTAGTCCAAAGAAATCGAGTATCTGGCACAATTTTGTCTTATCCAACATCCACTTCTAGCATGACACAAGCATCTGACGCATTCGTAAAGTGGGTGACTGAGCCAGTTGGTTTGTACGCTTTCTAAAAATAAAAAAATTACAAAAATAAAACCGTCAAAAAAATAAACGAAAATTACTATTATTCAGAAAGATGGAAGTTGCAGATCTTAAAATTCTCTAAAAAAATAGTCTTTATAATTTTTTTATAAGCCATGTATATACATATTAGGCACTTATGATAAGTATAAATACCTTTCTATACCGACGTAAAACTCTAAAGGAAATGAAAAACAACAAGGCTCCGGGAGATGACCAAATAATAATAGAAGCTTTTAAAGTAGGAGGCAAGAAACTGCGGGAAGTAGTAACTGAACTATTCAACCTATGTCTAAACCAAGGTATAAACCTATGTCCCTACAAAATAGAACAATGCAATTACTATCCTAATACACAAAAAAGGAGTTATATCAGACCTAGAGAATTATAGACTGATAAGTCTGTTGTCACATCTCTACAAATGGTTTACCAAGATCATCACAAAACGTTTAGAACGAAAATTAGATTTCTATCAGTCTAAGGAGCAAGCTGGGTTTAGGAAAGGTTATGAAACAAATGACCACCTACAAGCACTTAAAATACTAATTGAAAAATGTGTTGAATATAATAAACCACTCACGTTGATTTTCATAGACTTTTAGAAAGCTTTTGATACCGTGGAATTACCGACAGTATTAGGAGCATTAGAACAAAGCCGAGTAGACTATAGATATACAAATTTGATAAAACATATATACAACAACGCAACAGCATCTGTTAAACTCCATGACTTTACCGATAAATATAGAATTGAACGAGGAATTAGACAGGGCAACACCATCTCCCCCCAACTATTTACTGCAGCTCTGGAATATGCCTTTAAAAAACTAGATTAGGCTAAAAGGGGAATAAATATTGTTGGTGAATACTTAAGCCACTTGCGCTTTGCAGATGATATTGTCATTATAGCCGAGAGTTTAAATTAAGCTCACAAAATGATGGAAGAACTAAAACAGGCAATAGAACCAATAGGCCTGAACATAAACATAACCTGAAAAAACAAAATACATGACCAATTTAGTTCCAAGTGATGTTATGAGGGTAGATGGGAACGAAGTACATCAGGTCTTTAGCTATATCTATTTAGGGCATGAAATTAGAATAGGAAAAGACAATCAAACTTGTGAGATCCAGCGTCGCATAGGCTTGGGATGGGCAGCATTTGGCAAGATGCAAGATATTTTAAAAGGAACGCTACCGATTTGCTTGAAGAAAAAGGTTTACAACCAATACATACTGCCAGTAATAACATATGGTTCCGAAACAATAACTTTAACCAAACATTCTGCAAATAAATTGAGAGTAACCCAAAGAAAAATGAAAAGAGCAATGTTGGGAATAACTAGAAGAGATATGGTACCAAATAGGATAGTGAGAGAGAGGACTAAAGTGACAGATGTCATAGAAAAAATTGCACAAGCCAAATGGAGATGGGCTGGACATATAGCACGTTTAAATGATAATAGGTGGACCAAAAGACTCATAGAATGGAGACCTAGAAAAGACAAAAAACACCGAGGCAGACCACCAAAAAGATGGATGGACGACTTGAGAAAACCAGTCGGAAATTGGATACAGAAGGCGCAAGATAGAGAACAGTGGAAGAACATGGAGGAGACCTATATCCAACAGTGGATGCAAGAGGTTGAGGAATGACCGGCGTAAAAAGATGCTAAATATATTAAAAACTTTTTGACTGGTTTACATCACATGATCCGTTCCCTTAAATTAATAAAATCGTATCTATTGCTTCTCGAGTTGTTGGTGACGATAAGATTATTTGCCATAATACTTGTGAAGTTGGGATTGCTTCCATGTCTAGATTGGCAGATGAAACATTTAATAATATAAAATAATATAAAAAATATAAAAAAATAATAAATATAAAAAAAGTAATCCCTCCTTTAGCTGCGAGTAGCACCGAGTTGTAAAACAACAAAGTCAGCAATTTACAATTGCTTTTACTCGATCAATACTGGGGTTGATCGTACAAACGCTATTTACATTACTGATGGAGGATACCTATTACATCACGTTGTGTGGGATCAAGAAGAAACCTTTAGGATTATTTTTGATAAATGTGTTTAATATTTACGTAAACGGTAGTATTTGATGGCTATCAAACTACAAAAACATCATCGGGTTCCGAGATTATCTTTGATGAATTTATGACAGTTCCATTGAATAAACATAAACTTTTGCTTACATTAATAATAAACCCCGAACTCCGCCTGTATGACTGCTGGGTGAATTGAGTAGTTCAGCAGTTATGTTTCCGGTCCCAAGACCAAATAAAGAAGGCTGGGGGGGGGGGGGAGTAACAACCTCGTAAAAAACCAAGGTTCATCTGCCCCTATGATAGTACCCTGTAGGGGCTCCTGCGTAGGGTTACAGGCGAAGGTCAACGGTGGACGGAGCAAACGAGATTGGCTCGGAGTGGACGAGAGAAATTCAATGGCCCCGAAAGCGCAAGAACCGAGTTAAGGGAAGACTAGTCTCTATAGTCCTGGAAGACAACTAGTCTAAAGGAAGAAAAACTTGATTACAAATTACCCGGTCCTCCACGTAGGGGGTTAAGACATCAGGCCGGTTCCCTGTCATTTGTAAAAAATAGAAAAACACCAAAAAGTCTAAAAATTGCCTCGGAACCTCGGACGGATTAAATAATAAACGACTTCGGCGACGAAAAAGGATTATGAACATTATCATCTGGAACGTGCAGAGTATTAGCGAAAAGATGGAAGAAATAACTGAAGAAATTAAAAACTAGATATGGATATAGTTGTCTTAACCAAAACAAAGAAGAAATTAATAGGTATAGAAAAAGTAAACAATTATGTAGATATATTCAGCGGAATTTCAAAACACGAGAGAGCGAAAAGAGGAGTACCCGTTCTAATACACAAAAAATATAAACATAAAATCACTGACTTTGAAGCAATAGACGAAAATATAATAAGAGTAAACATAACAATGAAAGAAACACCTATTACGATACTTGGGATTTATGTAATCAGTGATGATGAACCTTACACAAACAAAGATGAGTTCTTTACTAAAGGTAACGACGAAATTACGAAAATTGGAAATGGAAGAGAATTGGTAATTATGGGAGACCTGAACAGTAGAGTAGGCCGTAAAGTAGATATTAAGGTGGTAAGTCCCTAGGGAGAAATAAACCAGAATGATAATGGTCCGAGGATAATTGAAATATGTGAAAACCATCAATTAAAAATAACCAATGGATTTTTTAAACATAGAGATATGCACAAGTATACCTGGACCCAAACTACAAGAAATCTAAAACCAATTATAGACTATGTCATCATAAAACAAAATACTGCAAGTACAGGACACAAGAGCATACAGACGAATAACATGTGGTTCAGATCATTATGTCGTAAAATCAAAAGTAACCTGTCCGTTTAGATATAAAATAACACATAATCAAACAAATTGTCAACCCCAACAAGTAGAAACTTTCGAAAAAAGAAGTTATAATTTGGATAGTTTCACCCAAGAGAGTATAAGAATACTATATCAACAAAGACTGGATGGCAAACTAATGAATATAACTGAAACAGCAACAGTAGAGGAAGCATATAAAAACGTAGTACCTAGTTAGCGTTAAAAAAGCTGCAGAATAAGCACTCGGCTCTAACACTCTAAGACGGCTCGGCTCTAAGACAAAGTGAAAAACTATGGTAGAACAAAGAAATAGAAGCATTCGTAGAAGAGAAAAAGCAAGTATATATCAAATGCCTGAGCAGTAAACAACAAAAAGATAGAGATGAATACCTGTAACTCAAAAGAATGACAAGAATAACAACAGAAGAAAAAAATGTGGAATAAGAAGTGCCAGGAAATTAAAACCTACCTGGGAGGCAGAAAATGTACAGAAACGTGGAAATTCCTTAGTAAAATAAGAACTAACGAAAGGAAGAGCACAAACATTTAATTATTATCCACACAAAAATGGGAAAAGTACTATGGGGAACTATTGAGAGAAAATAGGGACAAATACTTAAATCAATCACCAACAGAGGTTAATATTGAAGGAGAAGATATAACAATACAAGTGAGAGAAATTAGAAAAGCTATAACAGAACTGAAAAACGGTATATATCTGGTATAACGCTGGGATATCCCCTGGTTCTGTATCCAGAATTTTGAACTTTGACCCCGAATAACTTTTGTAGAACACATACAATCGATGTGACAACGAAAAATTACAGGTGATGTTCATACTCTGTGGTGTCGAAACTATTACTCTTAACTGACTGCATTCTATCCAGGGTTTGGGGGACCACTATCCGATAGTATTATTACGGAAGAAAAATATCTGGCTACCAGAGGCGTTGCAACATTTTCAGAAAAAAATTTGCTAATAAATTTATTCAACATTGTAAGAAAATTAAATCAAAAATGCTTAATTAATATAATTCTAATGAACAAAAAACTTAGTAGTAGAAGTAGAAGCTGAAAAGATAGGCCTTAATATGAATTACAGCAAGACCAAAACTATAACAAATACAGATGAAGACATCACAATGAAAATCGGACAAGGTGAAATAGAACAAGTTAAGGATTATATATATATATATATATATATATATATATATATCTTGGTCAAACTATAAAACTTAACAAAGAGAACCAAACAGCAGAGATCAAGAGACGAGTTAGACTGGCATGGGCGGCATTTGGCAAACTAAGCTACATTCTTAAAAACAAAAGATATCCACAGCATCTTAAGACCAAAGTATATAATCAATCAGCGTACTCCCTGTTCTTACTTATGGTTCCCAAACGTAGACATCTACAAATGCAAACATGGACAAAATCATAAAAACCAAAAGAGCAATGGAAAGACAAATGTTGCACATAAGACTAATGGATAAGAAGAGAAACGAGTGGATAAGAGAGTAAACAAAAGTGAGGGATGTTAGACAAGAAGTTGCAAAATTGAAATGGAGATTTGCTGGACACAATATAAGACAAAAAGAAGACCGATGGAACAAAATTCTTATAAGTTGGAGACCGTGGGAATATAAACGAAGCAGAGAAAGGCCCCAAATGAGATGGGCAGAGAAGAATGGAAAAGGATTGGGGAGGCCTATGTCCAAAGATGGACCGAAGAAGGCTAATTAGATAGATAGATAGATAGACACAAAACTTACCTACTGCCGTCACAGCCACAAGCGCTAAACAAAATGCTAACACTGCGAATCTCATTGTATTTTTTTAAATTTACTGTTAGACGCGGTAGAATAGTTTAGGAAATACAGTACTAATAATGTTAATTTTGCAAGTATTTATACTAAAAAATGATATGATAAAAAATTAATAATGATTTTGGTACAGGTCCGTGGGGTCATTACAATATTGATAAGCGGATAAAAATTCCCATATCTGATAACATTGAATAAATCGTTTAAAAAAATAGTAAATTTAATAAACGCGTTTTTAATTTCAATAATATCAATGATTTGCCGTCTTTAGGCAATTTAAGGTTACTGTTTTCCTTTAGCGTCTAATTATATTTGTTTTCATCAATATCTTTGGTAACAGCTTTTATTGACGAGTTCCCTGCGACCATAAAAGAATTGAAACATCTCGGCCAAAAGATGGAAGTCTCCTATGGAAAATCAGACACATGGTAAGGCAGATCACACTCGTTTTGACGTTTCGATTTTCACTTCGTAAATCTTTCTCAAACAACATCTTGAACCATATCTTTTGTTTTGTTACTTAGTAATACAATATGCTGAATTTCTTCATTGGCAAGCGAATAAAAATATAATTTAAGTTGATTTCAATGCAAAGAACACCTGCTGGGTGTGATGTACATTAAAATATCCTTCATATATTGGCCCTCAGACTCAAATAAATACCTGATCGTGAAAATAGACTAGTGATTTTATCCATCACCTTGCAACGGAGGAACCAATCAATTGTATCTACAATCATTTCACTTAATTTTTTCTATCTTCCTCCTACTTAGGACGACAAGAGAATAATAGTTTAATCTGGTACAACTTTCATAACAAATAAATCACTTTTGGAGAGTCGTTGAACTTTTTACCAAAGACGTCTTATGAAATCGATCTACGTATAAAACCAGCGTAATTATATTTTGGCAATTTATTTATTGGAAAAGCTCGAGTTTTGTATTATATTTTTTACCGATCAATAAATTCGCAGCCAATTTTTTAGGATCAACAAAATTTTCAAAGGAATTAAAAATTAAATTTTTAAAATAATAAACTTCTTGCATGTAAGGTCAGTTTTTTACCTCTAGATAAATATTATCCAATCTAACAGATACTTATCTAAATATTTAATTAATTGTCAAAGAAATCACAATAATGTAAATATCTTTTGATTATACGATTTGTGGCGAAGGAATAAATTAAATTGTGATAAGAAAAATTTAATAGCGAATAAAAAAGTAATACATGTTTAATGATGCTTTTCACATTTTTTCCTGACACTATAACTTTATATAAGGTTAGCTCAAACATCTCAACTTCAAGAAGTTCAGTAATGTCTTCAATTGGCAATTTTATTTCAAAATTTCGCTTAATTTTGATCTCTTGCTAGGTTATACTCATAGAATGTTGCTGTTGATTAGAACAGTTAAATCTTTTCAACCTTAAGGCCTATTCTCACTATAGTGCCAGGCATTTGATCGGCATGTGCCCTGCTCAAGACGTGCAAAATTACTTTAACGTTATTTAAATGGGTTTAGCGACGGCCAGTTCTCACTACAAGTGCTCGGAGTGGGAACGGTCCGTGCCCGGCATCGAACAATCTTTTCAAACAATATTTTCCTAGCCCATGCCTGGCACATTCCTTGCACAGTCCTACATAGTGTGAATACTTTGTGAAGACGAGTTTCGACAGGTAAAATGGTGCGATAAAAATTATTTTCACATGATACTGATGAATTTTTAATAGAATTAGTTCGTGAGAGGAGTGAATTATACGATTTTATGAATCGACTGTATGCAGATGCAGCACATAAGTCTCAGGTATTGTGGGATATTGGAGAAAATATTAAAATAGGTAAATAAAACACTATATTGTATCTAGGTAATAGACCACTGCCGATAATATTTCAAACAAAAAAAAATAATAGTAGGGTCAAACTCGTTGGAAAAGAAAGATGATATGACATAAATAAAAGAAAAAATAATTTACGGGCGACCTGAGTTCGAAAAATGGAGGGAGTGAGTTTTTTAAGGGCAAAAATGGTTTATCGTGATTTCCTAGAGCAAGTTGAACTACACATCTACTAAAGCAAGTAGAATTACAGAAAAAATCTTTTTGTAGTTAAAGTAACTGGAACCACTATTGATTGAAACTATAATTTTGATGTGCTTTTCATCTAGGGCTCCTAATGCTAAAAAATGCAATTTTTACTAAAGTTGCCGTGGAAAACATTACAACTGTACAACTACCCACCGACACGTCTAACCAACTGCCTGTGCAAAATACCGCTGAAAGCATGCTACGAGCGCGAATAGTGTGAATATTTACCAAAAGCATGGCATGTGCCGGTCAGGTGACGAGCACGGGCCTGGCACGTCCAATGAGAATAGACCTTTACAGCCACTTCCACTGGACGAAATTTATAAATATATTATGCCTAAACCTTCTTTTCCATACATAAAAAGTTATGTTATATATCTGGTTCTAATATGAAATTCATTATAGAAATTGGACTGGAAACCATTTGTATTATTTTTATTTAAGTAAACTACTTATCGAGAATACAGAACTATTCATTTATACCTGGAAGGTACCTAAAATCATATTATCTAAGAAGTATTCCAAATTGTTACAATTTAAAATCAATATTCCATAATATATTATATATAAGATTTACAATGGAAAAGGAAAGTCAAAGGAATGGGTATACAATTGAACGATCAGGATTACATATATACTTTACAGTTTGCAGATGATCAGGTGGTGATCTCAAATGACAAAGACGACATAGAATAAATGCTTAGAAAACTAATTTTTTTTATTTATTTTAATTAACGTGTCTCGACTACGAGGTCATTGACACGATGACAGTATAATACAATATAAGGTATATACAGTTTTACATTTGACAATACATAGCACAAAAATAGAAAACTAATTGAAGAATACCAGAAATGGGGATTAAATATCAATTTAGACAAGACAAAATACCTCTCAATTGGAGCTGAAGCAGAACAACTCGATATCAATAACAATCAAAAAATAAATCCATGTGACGAATATAAATACCTGGGCGTCATTTTCGACCGTAGTGAAAAAGACGAACGAGAAACAGAACATCGAATGTTACAAGCATGAAGAGCTCTAGCATGTTTGAACGGAGTTCTATATAGTAAAGAAATATCAAAGAAAAGAAATATACAAATGGGTATAAAGGGCACCATAGTTGAGGATATTGAAAGAAAACAGCTCATATGGTATGAGCATGTGAGCCGAATGGGGGACGAAAGATTGCCTAAAAAAACGATGATATGGCAACCCCCAAAGAAGAGGAAACGAGGTAGACCACCACAGAGCTGAAATCTGGGAGTTAGGAAAGCGATTAGCGCTCGAAATCTGGACGAAGACCTAACTCAAGACAGAATACAGTGGCGTTTGGGAGGCGGACAACGTCGTCAGACGTTATAAAACCGAATATATATATATATATATATATATATATATATATATATATATATATATATATATATATATATATATATATATAAGTTATCGACCTATAAATTACGAACTAAGCTTTAATAAGGTAATGACCCAAGTCCAGTGAACTGAAGAACGCTGATTAAGACAACATACGACAACGAACATTATACATTGCATTTTCATTATTAAATTGATTTCAGTATTAAAAATCATATTGTTAGTTAGTCTAGATTCTGCTTTTATTGTATCAAAACGTAGTGTACTATTTTTGTGTTAAATAAATATTTTTTAAAAATATAGTTTTGGAACACTCTAATATATTTGGCGCAGTCAGATTGGATGGTCAAACGGGCGTTAATGAATATAACTCTCGGTTCGTTTCTACGATTTTTTGACCATTTGAACCATATTCGCGAAGTGAATTCCAGTTGGGCGAATTGAGTAACCTGACGAGAAGATTCGTACTTCTATACCGGAGAGACTTTCAAGTGAATATTGTGAGTGTCTCTAGATCCAGTTCCAAAGCCAGGCATTCCATGGACAAGATCGCTACATTACTGTAAGTGAATTAATGTCATATAGAGAGCCTAATTTAACACTAGATTCTGATTATTCAGAGAGTAGTAACTCAGATACAGATTCTGACTCAATTTTAACTGATTTAAATTTTAATATTAATACTAAATTAATTCCAAAAATATTAAAACTAAATAATAAATTTAACATGGCAGTTCCACAGTTAAAGAAAGAATACTTAGATATGATTCCAGATTTTGATGGAAATCATACATTACTTCCTAGATTTTTAGAAATTTGCGAAAAAATTGTAAATAAATTTTATAATGCTGCGGATGTAAATGATTTTCAAAATGAATATCTGATGTCAAGCATAATAGCAAAAATAAAAGGCGAAGCCGCAATTAATATTTCTTCTTGTATTCTTAGAACTTGGCAGGATTTAAAAGATGCTTTAATAAATTCGTATTCAGATAAAAGAGATATTTATACTTTAAGCATAGAAATTTCAGATTTAAAACAAGGCAATGAATCCCCTTTCGATTTTTATAACCGAATTCAACACCTATTAAATCTTCAAATATCTGTTTTGTCTACAAAAACCGAACATATGGTTGAGATTAATATTCTCGGTAGCTTTTTCCGAAATTTAGCATTAAGAGTACTGTTGCGTGGGTTAAAAGAACCTCTTGGAACCTTAATGCGTACAAAGAATCCTCCAGATTTAAATTCTGCATTAGGCATTCTGACAAACGATTTTCAAATATATCTCGAACAAAATAATTCTTCTCACAGTAAATATCCTAAACATTATCAAAATAATAATTATTCACCTAGGCCAAAATCCAATTTCCGACAAAACCAACAAATTATACATCAACCCCAAATTCAATACACACAAAGGAATCAATTTTCAACACAGAAAAACACTATACATCCTCAGAATTCTCAATATATGAGACAATCTTCTTTCCAAAATAATCCTAGTACAAGCAAAAATTCAAATTTTAATGGAAATAATGATGCTTTCAAGCCAAATCCGAATAGAAAATTC